AACCGACAACACATGGCCTTCAAGCCATAATAAAATGCAACGCCACAGGCTGAGCTGAAACATTCAGGTAATGCTTGAAAGAACAGGTAAACAGGTGACATTCATCAACCTTCGTCCTGTTTCACATGATTTGGAACAAACACTTTTATTGATTGATGTTTTTTTGGGTGTTGTTTTGATGCTGTTTTGTTTAGTGCGTGTCAAAAAAACATCCCAGTTTTGACCTGCAGTCCCATAAAATACACAGGACCAGGTGGAACATCTTCAAATGTGTAAACATGTCTGACCCCAGCCCTCTGTGCTCCAGTGGCTGTTTATTTGTCTGTCTTCTCCCATTGGCTGTTTAAACCGCTCTACTTTTGCGACTCCGCCTCCTGGCCAGTAATCATGACTCTGATTGACAGACAGACACGCGGTACATATTGTACTTTTCAAAATAAAGAAAAAAGAAAAGTGAAGAAAGACAATGAAATGAAGAAAAAAATAAAAATAGAGAACCTCGTCTTACATTCTTACAGGCCACCCTGTCCTTACATTCGTCAGTCCACCTGTCTACATTCTGACAATCCACGCCTGTCTTACATCCACAGTCCCACCTGTCTTACATTCTTACAGTGCTACCCTGGCCTTAGCATTCTTACAGGCCACCGCTTACAATCCTAACAGGTCCACCTGTCCTATCATTCCTACAGTCCACCGATGTCTTACATCTTACAGTGTACCTGTCTTGACAATTGCCAATTACAGTTGCCATACCTGCTGCTCCTGACATTCTTGTACAGTCTACCTGCTTACATTCTTATACAGTCCAACCCTGCTCATTACAATCCCTACGAAGTACAGGTGAGCCTGTCCTTACATTATCTTCATTTCTTACAGTCTAGACCTGTTGTTTTTGTTCCTTACAATCTCCGTTTATAGCATTTTAAGTGAAACAAGATAATAGGTGGATGTGATGACAGCAACAATCAGATTAGCTGGGGTTTGTGGGTGCGTTTTGTGGTGTTGCGGCTTGTTACTGTTTTTAGAACAATAGAGTCGGATCAACGGGTAAATCAGGGATAATCAGTTCTTACCGCTTTACAGTCGGCTTCACATTCCCCTGCATTTGTAC